CACTCTTATTGATACTCGCCTGTGCATTAGTTTAGACAGATATGATGATAAGCATTCTCAGCAAAAAGGAAGAGGAATACAGTCCATTGTATAAAATGGCAATCACAACAAGGGCTAAAACCCAATTCTCACCCTTGCATTGTGAAGTTACTGCTGCATTCGGAATTTCCGTGCTTCCATAGGAGTAAAGAGAAGAACAAGACAGGCAGAGAAGTTTTCATTTCCATATCTGTAACAAATATTTGCTGCCCAAATGTAACAATAGCAGCGTAGTATATGGCTGTGTGGCCTTGGTGGCTTTAAAATCATTAGCTTACCCTAATGGCAAGAAATATTTCAATTACATAGCTTGAGAAAAGAGATTAAAATCAAATTTCCATCTTCTAAAGAGTTATACTCAGTTTGTAATTCATAAAGCCTTAAGTGTCACACCATCCAAAGGATGCACTGTACTTAAGTTTTCCGGTAGTTTCTATAACTATAATCACTCAACTTGTAATTCTAAATTTAACACGGTCCCCTCAGTCATATATTGTGACCTACCTTAATAGCCATTATCCTTTCCCAGTCCTAAGTGGGCCTTAACAGAGTCAGTTGATTAAGCCTTTATCGGTAATCATACATATCTGATGGGTTTTAAACTATTTAAGCATGCTAGATATTTTAATGGAATTTCAAGACACAGACATACTAATTTGTTACTATATAAAACCTAGTGATTTACAGCTCAATAGCATCTTTATTTGACCTTAGAGGAGAAGCTGAACCAACTGCTAATGCAACTCAAGTATTCTTTGCACTGAAGTTTTCTACTCTTGTGAAATTAATTATCAAATATTATCATTAATAATGAATGTTAATTACAGCTATTAATTATTTTAGTCTGCCTTTGCATACATCCAAGTTCATTAAGATAATCTGTTCAAAAATGGGCTAGATTACATAACTAGTGAATTAGACTCTCTCTGTCTCTTCCTCACTCACTTCTGTTGCTAAGCGAGACAGTTGTTAAGTGAATTTTGCCCCATTTTATGACCATTCTTGCCACAGTTGTTAAGTGAATCACTGCAGTTAAGTTAGTAACCTGGTTGTTAAGTGAATCTGGCTTCCCCATTGACTTCACTTGTCAGAAGGTCGCAAAAGGTGGTAACATGGCCCTGGGACACAGCAACAGTCATAAATATGAGTCAGTTGCCCAGCGTTCAAATTTTGATCATGTGAGCATGGGGATGTTGCAATGGTTGTAAATGCGAAAAATGGTCATAAGTCACTTTTTCAGTGTAGTTGTAACTTTGAACGGTTACTAAATGAACTGTTGCAAGATGAGGACTACCTGTGCATGAAAGGGATAGATAAAGCATAGCATCCAGCAAGAATCTTGAGAGTCTCTGGGCAAAAGGCAGAAGAGCCTAAGACTGATTGGGGAGGGGGCGGTAACATCATTCACACCAACCAAAGTGTTTTCTTAAAGATGCAGAACGGAGGAGGGATCACTGGGCTCCCAAAATGCCATCGCCATCTTTTTATGGACATAAAAGAGTTAGTGATGAAATAACCAATAACTCTCCAGGCCAATTACTCACAATGCTTGCCAGGGACTCTGAAACCCTCTGTACTTTTTGGTACAGATAAGATAATGTCAGTTTGCCTGTTAACTGTTGTGCTGATGCTTTGCTAAGGTTTAATATAGAAACATCAAGGTATATAGTTTGCTGGCTGGACTGAGTGTTATGTGCCTTTGCTCTGATCTGAATATAGGGATTGCCTGGTTACCCCCAGTAATTTTACAGCATCGATGGTGTCCTAGAAAAGAGCAAGAAAAGGGAAAGGCAAAGAGGGGATGCAGAGTAATTCTAATGATCTATACAGGTAGTCCTCAGCTTACAACAGTTCATTTAGTGGCCATTCAAAGTTACAGTGGGATTGAAAAGAGTGACCCGTGATCATTTTTCACACTTACGACTGTTGCACCATCCTTGTGGTCATCTGATCAAAATTTAGACACTTGGCAACATTTATGACAGTTACACTGTCCCGGGGTCCTGTGATCCCCTTTTGCAACCTTCTGACAAGCAAAGTCTATGGGGAAGCCAGATTCACTGAACATACTGTGACAAGAACAGTCATAAAATGGGGCAAAATTCACTTTACAACTGTCTTGCTTAGCAACAAAAATTTGGGGCTCAATTGTGGTTGTAAGCCGTGGATTACCTGTATTGCAGCTGGTCAATGGGTTGTAAAGTCCTGAAAAATCACACTTTTCACAAAAATGTCATGTCAGGAGAAAGAATGATTGCCTGATAATACAGAGATCTCAGAGTTTCAGAAATTTAGACAACTGCTAGATGCAAGTTCTGCGATCTGGATGTAGCTGCTCATTCACTTGCAGAATCATGCTTTGCAGAATAGAAATAAATTTATCCTTCTATAGCAGGGGTGTCAAACTCAGTTTCACTGAGGGCCGCATCAGCATTGCGGTTGCCCTGGGGGCGGCTGGGTGTGTGTGGCCAGAGTGGGTGCAGCCTACTGGATGGGTGTGGATGGAGTGGGTGTGGCCTACTGGGTGGGCGTGGCCAGTTCTACATCATTCGCCTCAAGGGTGCCTATGGGGGGCCTGGGCAGGAGTGGGACAGATCTGAGGGTCTCTGGCAGAAGGGGGTGGGACCAGGGCAAATGCCAAGGCATGGTCCACTGGGGCAAGTGCAAGATGGCCACCACAAAATTGTACATTGGCTCCTGGTTGGCCTAGGGCCAAGGCAGCAGGGGCCATTCCCTCACTGTTTCCAGGATGGCTTCGAGGGCTACATGAAACCACTTCGCGGGCTGCATCCGGCCCCCGGGCCTTGTGTTTGACATGTCTGTTCTATAGTAAGGATAAATTACTATAGTAATTTCTATCCATATGGATGGAATCTATTCTTTCAGCACAAAAAAGCATTAAACAAGCAACTTTCCTCTGTTACTTGCAGAATACTGAGATTGAATCCCCCCCCCAAAAAATCTCTAGCTATGGCAATTAATTGAATTAATAAATGGATTTCTCTATTTGTATTGATCAGAATTTCCACATGTGCCCCATATATGTTTTATAGGCATGGGAAACAGTAATCTCTCTTTCCTATTCAGTTATTGGTATATCAGGAACAAGATTTTTAGATAAGCACCTACACTGATGGACAATTATAGATGAAAAAATGAATGGTATTAATTGACTCTGTCTTAAAAAAATCTCCAGAAGATTGTGCAAAGCCCACAGTGGTATTATTCTAAACAGGGAAGCCACACATTTCACTCCAAAGGAAACAATTGAGAGCCACAATAAGAATATGAGTTTCCTCCTGACCAGACTCCAATGCCCATTTACATGCCATTTTTTCTCTCTCTCTCTCCTCTTTTCTTTTCTGCCCAACAGCATTTCACTATTCTTGGAGTTTTCCATCTACATTGCAATACTGCTACATTTCTTTTCCCCTCAAGGTTCTTTCCAAAATATTTTGTGCACATCTGAAAATTCTGGTCAATTAAAATGGAGAAATCCATTTATTAATTCATTCATTAATTCAATTAACTGCCATAGCTTGAGATTTCTTTGTGACTTGGCCTCAGCAAATAACAGAGAAAACTTGCTTGTTTAACACTTTTTTTATGCTGAAAGAATTGAAAGATAAGATGTGGTGGCAATGGCAGTAACACACGGGATGTGAATACATTTACGAGTTTCATTATGACATGAAAACAAAGTATGGCCACTATATTTATGACTGGATGTTTCTGAAGTAAATGACAAGACATTGATTATCAATAATGGAAATCAAAATGAAAATGGAAGTAATGTTAAAAGACAAAAACAACCCAGATTTTGTACTTAACATATAGAAGCAAAAAAGGTAGTTCTCTATTTGTAAAAAACATGTAATTAGAAGTAATCAACAGTGAATTATTGAAACCTATGATAGAAAAAAAGTTCTGCTGCACTATATTCAATTGTTGAAAGCCCTTGCCTTGCCTTCACCATAGGTGTACAATAAGAGGCAGTGTTGGATTAGATATCTGTAATAATGAATTCTAATTAGTCTAGACTTTAAGCTGATTTGGCATGTTCCTAAGAAGGATTTTCCAAGATGGATTGAGATGAGATGTGATGGCGCCAACTCAGTTACAGAGGACAGAGTTGGTATTTACTAGATTCCAAGATCAATCCCCAGCATTGATAGCTGGAAAAACAATTACTAATCAGAATATTGATCAGTAACGTAGAAGGAAATGGTTAAATAGTTCTGTTCATTGCAAGCTGCTTTTCCTTTCTGCTGTAGAAAGCAATGGGGCATTTTCTTTCTTGCAGTTGAGATTCACACAGCCTTATTATTTAAGAGAATATATTGTCTTTTACTTTCATAGATATATTTAGTTTATTTGTAAGTTTTTCACAGTACATTGATGGTAATCCTTGAAGTATCATTCCTTGATTATGCCAGAGGGATAGTATTTCAGAAGAAGTTCAACATATTTGATTTCTTTGAGGAGATGGTCAAATAATAAAAAAAGAATATTGGCTGAACTCTGTTTATCATGATTACTAAGTTCTTTAAGTAGGGTAAATCCATCATCCCTTCTATTGGAAACTCAGTAGACCTTAGAACAAAATGTTCAAATCCAAATGACCATTAAGAAATTAATCACAAGCTTCCGAAGGAACCCAGAATCAAAATTCAAAGATGTGCTAAAATATATTTCATTTGACACAGACTGTAATTACTATATTTTTTTCTGAATTCACATGCATTCTGTGTCAATATGTTAATGGACAACATGAAAAATATCTGTAGTACTTATTTATTATATTTATATAGCTGCTCATCTCATATAGCAACTCTATATTATTGACTAACCAACATTCTGACATCATTTAGAATGTAAATACCTAACAATATAGTCTTGGTCTGTAGGGCTCACTGGAGCAAGCTTCATGTTGCCAGATTCCAGGACTCAGAAAAGGATGATGATGAGGACTGAAGTTTTAACTGAATTGAAGTGATACATATTGTGGACATTATTTGATTGTAATAACTTATACATAAAATACATTTTGTTTTCTTGAATGAAAACTACATAGGGGATTGAAAGAAATGAATTAACACCAGAATTATTGGATAATCGCACATCTTAAATGTTTTCAGGTCAAGACTTTTCAAATTAACTGGTTTTGCTCTTTGATGAATTCTTGCTTTGCTCATTGCTGTTTGAGGTTAGTTGTGCACGCCTTGAGCCAACCCACAACTTCCTTTTCAAAAAGCCAAAACAAAACTTTGATTACCTTTTCAGGTATTTTTCTCTGTGTGTGTGCATCTATTTCTTATTTTCTCATACAGCAACAGTGTGAATTCTCCTATTTTTGTCAAAACAAAATCTTGTAATTCTGAGAAAGTATCTTCCTAGTAACCTGGCATTCTAGATAAAGACTTGAATTGTTCCAGCTTGAATTGACCTGGATTGAACATCTGACTGAGAGATGATTTCGTTTCTGCTAACCCTTGTGGTTTACAACATAGCTTCTGGCTTCACAAAAGGTGGGTAGATCAAAGTGGTCAAATTTTTTCAGGGTTGAAGAATGGTCAAGAAGAGATATGAATAATTCATGGCAACTGGGCTATTGATGTGATGGGGATTGTTATTTGTACCTTGCAAAGAATAAGAAAACATGTTATTGCCCAAAAACTTTCACAAATTGTATATTGTTGTTATTTTTTCCATATTACTTTTACTCTGTTGTTCAATCAAGAAATATAATTTAGGAAATTAACTGCCACATACTAGCAGGTTTATAATATGAAAAACATGGCAATAAAGGAAAAGGGATTATGGAGGAGAAGAAACATCTTCAATTACTAAATTCTTAGTTACAAAATTCAACCCATTCATCAGGTGCTTATTCTCTGTCTAATAGAGTAGCAATTGGTAGGAGAAAAGGTAGGTGCTCAGCTGGAGCCCAGATATGATGGGTAGATGGGCTGGCAAACTATAATATATAAGGGAGAAAATATTAAGAAGAAAAGACAGTGAAATACATTCTTTATATTGTCTGGTAACTTTTATATATAATTATGTAGATACTCTAATGCACATTCCAGTTAAACTATAGACAATGATGGGATTCAGCCAGTTTGCACCAGTTCAGCAGAACCGGTAGCTAATTTTTTGTTGCCCAGGCCCAGAATAAACTTCCAGAAGCGGCATCCACACAGAGAACCGGTTATTCACATATTTGAATCCCATCACTGACTACAGATATAATTTCTGCATAGTCTTGGGAAATTAGTTCTCTTTTACTCCGTTTTTATAAAGACAGTCAAGCAACTAATAAGAAAGTAATAGTAAATAAGGTATCCTAAACCAAGATAAATTGGTTTGAAAGATTTACTAAATCAATGTTGAAAGTATACCTAAACTCATGGATTAAAACACATAAATGACTGAAAAATCAGTGTCATCCCTTTTTGTGGCTAGGATTTTTTCTTACAAAGATGATTTTTTTTAAATGCAAAACTCTGTTCTGTTTTTGTTTTTGTATTAGTCATGGAAGTGACCCAGCCAGCATTCATGGTGGTAAAGAGACCAGAGGACGCCCACTTTGAGTGTAAAATCAAGAACATTGGCAATGCTGAAGATCTAAAAGTAACTTTACTTAAAGCAGAAGACAATGAGTCAACTGAGATCTGTGCCTCAGCCTTTACTAGGACTGGGATCACATTAGGCAGCAAGAAGGAAAATCACAGATGCCAAGTTTATCCTGGTCCTGACTGGGTAAATGTAACACTTTTGGGTGTACAGTCAAGTGATGCTGGTTTGTATATTTGCCAGATTGAACGGATATCCCCTCCACCCTACTACCCAGTCGAAGGAAAGGGGACCCAGCTCCTTGTCATTGGTAAGTAGAGAAAACCTAAAGGTGCTTTAAAAAATTGCTGAGAAAAGGAATTCATGAATGTAGCTGATTGTTTGAAATTGACTAATACAGTAGTTAATAACCCCAACCACACGCCTTGCATAAGGTTCCTTTATGTGTGCTTATCAAAGGCCATATAGCAATGTCTCTCAACTTAGGCAATCTGAAGATATATGGACTTTAACTCTGAGAATTCCCCAGCCAGCATATCCCATCATATAACTGAGTTGAGTTAGGATTGCTAAAGAAATTAATTGCTTTAATTTTTTTTTAGCATATTGAGTTCTGAGTTCATTAATAGCACTATTCCCAATCAACCATATTAGCCAAATCCTCTGAGTCAACTAATTATGAGTATTTGTAAATCATGTTAGATTACTTCTAGGAGCTTCATGCCAGGTTCACAATACAAGGAAAAGAAGGGGCTCACTTTTTCTTTCTGGGATGTGATCCTCTTCCTAGAACTGAGGATTTTTCCCAAACCAAACTTGTGTGGCCTAAAAAGTCTTTCAGGTTGAGTGAATAGTTCTTTATCTGCACAGAAGCATCAAAATACTATAAAGCTATTTTGATGCTTTATGAAATGTAGCAAATCTCACTGTTGTTGTTGCATCACTTTATTTATCTACATGGAAATGTAAAAAGAATAGTTTTGACACATTCCCACTCCATGAAGTTTGTAGCCTAGCAATGCATATCTAGGAAGGCATTTTTGATTAAATCTAAAATCTCCATAATCTTTTGAAGGTTTCAAGAGGAACCTAGACAAAGACATTGTAAATAAGTAACTATATTTTTTTCTTCAGTGTGTTAAAATATAATTTATGTTGTTCTGATTTAGTGCAATATTGATTAGTCTTATTTTTGTTGTAGAATCTTTGGAATGATTATTTTTTTATATATACAATTTCAGATGTAGATTCGTGCCCAGATAAACATCTCTATCTTTGGATCTTAGTACCACTAGCTTCTGGATTGCTTGGATACAGCATTTTAATCGCAATCTTCATTATGGTGGACATGGTAAGTATTATAATACAACACTCCACATGGGAAGCAAATCAAGAAGATTTATTACTCTAATGAACATACACCCTTAGAGTTATGAGAATTTTTCACACACTATGCATATTTTAAGCTATGTAAAACAAAGAAATCCTCTGGATTTTGGGTTGGAAGTTCTTGTGACTAACAAAGAACTACCTTAGATCCTGCTAGCTATACATTTTGGGACTGCCATGGCCAGTTTATGATTTTGGTGCTCTGCCAAGTGCACAAAAGGATTTGAGGTTCTTTAAAGTTATGAAAACTTCCATCAGTTGCCTCCTGACTTCAGAGTTGATGATAGCATGAGTTTTTACCACCATAATGAGACTTCAGTGGCAGAACTCCACCATCTGTAAAGGGAAAGGGAGGTATATAAAACTGTGATACCCTTGCTGGGAACAGAAAAACATATCAGAAATATATTAGGTGAATTGCACTAGTCCCTGAATATAGCTTAGAAAACTGAACTAGTTATCAGTCTTCACCTTCTCCCGCCTGCAGTAAATACCAGAAAATAGACTCTCCTGAATTCTATTGGATGGCATTAAAAATGTGGCATGATTCAAGTGAGATTTCAACTTCCATCTGTTTTTTTAATCACTCAAATGTTATTAAATAATGGTAAAGTATTCTTAATCCAAGTGACTCTATGTATAATCAATAGGAGTCATTTAATTGTCACCCTTTTTGGTGTCACACAGATACAGTAGCAAATTCATTATTATATGGTGTCTTAAATGATAACTAACTATATTTTGTTTTGGTTCAATGAATGTGATTGAATCAGCTGATTTGCTTAAATCTTACTGTGCAAAACCAACATCCTGGTGTTAAAAATAATCATAATTGCTATTGCTTTATTTTATTTTATTGATATTGTTATTTTTAAAAGACAGCTCACAAGGAAACAAAGCGATTCTACGCACACTTTTTGTCTCAAGACATTTTTACTATATTTGCTTCCAACAACAAATGATAATATTTATGTATTCACTTCCATGTCAAATCTACCCATCTTGTTTCAAACTACAATCCTGATATTGTCATAACTGGCATTTTACAATAACCAATTGTGAATTTAGAGTAATCATTACTAACCGATATTGGTGGATTATAGATATATCAATTTATAATAGCATTTAAAACCTTTCTTACTTGCAGTTTCAGATAATATTTCTTTTATTTTACAGATCAGAAAAAAACGTTATTTTTCTCCAGGGGCTTATGAGAAAATGATACCAATGTAATCAAAAAGAAAAGGACTTCAATGGAAAAAGGAAAAAAAATGACTTCTATGAAGTGTCAATGAAAATAATGAATTTCCTAATAACTAGGAATATAATTATAATTTCCAATTTGGAGAATGAGAGGCAAGGCAATGTATTAACATGTAAATGCTGAAATTAAATAACAAATCTATTGAATCATTGAATTAATTTGGATGCATCGATACCTTTCCCTAGAGCAAGGTCAATTTTCCTTGTGAAAAATTGCCACAAATTTCTTTATAATAGTAATAGTCTCATGTTATATTCAGTCTTATTAGTGGATAAAGTATTTCGTGGAGTGCTCCATTCCAGTTTAGCTGGATTGGTTTCTGAGCTCGACTTTTCCATTGGCCAAATGCACTTGATTTTGGTCTTATCTTTTTGTAACATTTGGATTTCTTCTAGAAGCAAACCAAGGCAGATCGCAGAGGAAGCAGACAAGATCAGTCCTTAACATAACCAATTAGATAAAATTATAGCAACAAAACCAAATCAGAGTAAGGCCAGGAAGCCTATACTCCAAAGATGCTTCCTGATGATAACATTTAGTTCTGACTATGGGATAAACTTAGGAATCAGAATAACAAACCTCCATCTGCCCTTAGCCCCAAATTCTCCTCACTTGTATCCCCTTAACTCAGGGGTCTTCAAACTTGGCCCTTTTATGACTTGTGGACTTCAACTGCCAGAATTCCTCAGCTAGCGTTGAAGTCCACAAGTCATAAAAGGGCCAAGTTTGAAGACCCCTGCCTTAACTGCTAAATGTGTATGCATTTATCACTACCAAATGTTTTTAAAGTCTTTGTTGCCTCACCACCACAGACCAAGCTTTACATTCTAATACAAGAAGTAAGACATTTTCTTTCTTTCCTGAAAGAGCTTCTCACTGTTACCCGAGCTTGGTGTGTGTGTGTGTGTATGTGTGTGTGTTTGTGTATGCTCAGATATATGCCAGCCTTTTCTTTCTCTTAAAACACTTTCATTCTTACCATCTATTCTGAGCTTTTATACCTCATCCCCAACTTTGCTTCAATCTCCTTTTGCCATTCTATTTAAGGAATGTTTGGAAAATAAAAGTGTAAGTGTCAAAAGTATTTCAGAGATTGTCTGTTTTGCAAGGAAGTATAACTAACTGGATGTGAGATGAACCACAGAAAAATATTAAGCTAACTAAAGATTCTGGCATATTAGAGATTTCAAAAAAGAAGGAAAAAGTCTACATAATATATAAATGTTTATAATTATGCAAATATTACTGAAGCTAATGAAACATATATTTGAGGAATTTTGAGGGAAAGAGAGACTCTAAGGAGTATACAGTATATCAATGTATTTTCTATAGCAGTGGGAGGTGTTTTTTATAGCATTCTTTTGTTTTATACACATACACACACTCCATAAGAAGGAATTTTTTTTTTTGTCTTTGGCAATTATCTGGACAAGTCCCTGCAGTCTTTTTGGCAAGATTTTGGAAGTGGGTTGACCTTGCCTCCTTCTAAGGGCTGAGAGACAATGACTGGTCCAAGGTCAGGAAGCAAGCTTCGTGCCTAATGAGGGACTAAAACGCACAGTTTATTTATTTATTTATTTATTTATGAGACTTATATACCGCTTTAAGTGCAAGCACTCTCTAAGCGGTGTACACCAGTAAGCAATGTATATATATATTTACATTGCCCCCAACAATCTGGGTCCTCATTTTACCTACCCCGGAAGGATGGAAGGCTGAGTCAACCTTGAGCTGGTGAGATTTGAATCGCTGACCTGCTGAACACAGTCAGCTAAAGTGGCCTGCAGTACTGCACTCTAACTGCTGCGCCACCTCCGCTCAGTTTCCCGGTTTCTAGCCTTTTGCCATAACCTCTACACCAAATTGCTTCTACTCCTACTAAGTCATTGTTTAATCCCATTCATTAGATCACATGTAACCTTAAAGATATATATGGAAAGCAAAATGCAATATATTTTGTCTCAAGAATTCAAGATAATTCTTGATGTACTTGAAAACCACTCTTAATTAGCTTGTGCATCCCATGTACTTGTGTTGTTCTAACAGAAGTACATTTTTTATTGTTTCTAAGAAGACTCTTCAAAAGCTTTTAGGGAGTATTGGTAATGAAGTGTGTGGCTGGGATACAAAAGAGGGGGTGGTGGTTCTTTAAAAAAAGTACAATGAAATGTTTACTAGAACTTCATCCAGATATTTATTTGGTATACACACACACACATATACAGACACACACACACACACATGTGTGTATACCAAATACACACACACACACACACACACACACACGTGTGTGTGTGTTTCTGTGGAATAGGCAGGATATAAATATATATAAACACATGAGGACAGAGAAAACATGCAAGGAATTAACATATGTATGTGATGAATGACTGGCACAAAATGAATTATAACTGACAAATAATGATAAAAATATGATCTGTTGATCTGGATTAAGATGGTTTTAAACTGAATGCAAGGGAAAGGAAAAGAATGGAATGAAAACCGTAAGTAGGGGCAAATGAAAATTGTAAAGAAAGGATCTCAGTTATAGACTTGTGCACTGTAGAATGTGGGGGTGTTGCTGAAACTGAATATCTTAAACTGCTAAAAAAAGTAATTAGAACCTTGATTCAAAATTAATGGTCCTCATAATCCATTCATTTATGCTCAGACTATGGGAAATTAATATGCTGAACCTCGGTTCTTACTAATAAAGTACAAATATTTAATACCATAGGTAAAACAGAGACTTGGTAAGACGATTCCAATAACTGCAACTCTAGCAACCGAAGAATATAATTTTTTTGAAAGAAACAGAAGCAACTGAGAGAATGAATAGCATGGTATTCTAACCCTTTACAATTATTTTTTCCTGCTCAGAACTTCAGATAGATAATCTTGGCAATGCTTCCAAACATTAAAATGTAAAGCCATTGTAGTGATGGAAACCTTTTATTATCCTCACATTTATTGGGAGAAAAAGTCTGCCAAGCTTGATTCTTCCAGAAAACTTCTGCTTTGTCTTTCTCCTCCTCTAGAGGAAGAAAAACACAAGAGGATTATCTCCCCATGATAGTAATAAGATTACATTTCTTAAAGTGGAGATAGCAGGAACATTGGCAGAAAGTGATCATAGAATGCTAGATTTTTAAGGAAAGTTAAACCTGAACATAGTCAAACATATACCCTGGACTTTAAAAAAATGATATTAATAAACTCAGCTATGATGAGTAGGAACTTTACCACTGTCAATCCTAAACCTGGATGCCAATGGAGAAAGGCTGGAGACCAAAAACTGATCCCACGATTTTTTTCACTGCTGTTGAAGATGCAGTTCAACCAGAATTGATTAAAATCATTGGAGAGCAATAATTATCCAATATTCTGCACTGCACAAGTGGACCTAAGTGAGAATATGATAAGTAGATTCCAAGGGCAGGAGAGGTTAATAGAAAAGGAATTAAGAAGTATGGGAATTATTAAAGACAGTGCTGTTAAAAACACAATTGCAAACTATTCTAGTGGGGTGGGGGAGAAAAAACAGAGGACAGAGAAAAGTGCCAGTGCAGCTATATGTAGATAGCCTGGAAATATAGTGGTGGTGTTAGGAAACCAAGGATCCAGAATGAATAGTGATTAATCAAGGAATCTAAGAATAACAAGAAAAGCTTGCTTAAGGAAGCTTCTAAAAGGAAAAGAACAGAATCAGTATTCTAGCTGGTCAGTGATAAAAACAAAATGTGAATGGTTAATAAAAGGATAATTAGAGCTACTGAAGTGTTACCACAATGCAAGCTTCTCCAACTGGAAAATATGGGTTCCACCAGAAAATGACAAAGAGTAGGATAAACAGGCATGACTAAAACTTGAGATCAATAATATCTGATTATGGAATTATTCTGTTATTTGAATGAGTTTCAGTCTCCTGGACCAGATGAATTGCAGTCTAGGGAACTGATAAAACTATCTGATGGTCAATCAGACTGGATATAAATTATATAACTAACTTAATAATTATGTAATTTTCAGAAATCCTGGTGAACTAGTAAAGTGAATTTGGATTCATGCACATTCATGTACAATGTTCAAAAGGACGTAGCAATAAATCTTGACTCTCCTGAAACTCATCCCTTGACCCCATATTGAATAACAAATTAGATGTGAACTGGGTAGATAAAGGTGGCTTTATTATAGGCAAAAAGAAGCCCCTTTTAAACCTTGAATTGGGGACATAGTGTTTTCGTAGCAGTTATGTCTGCTTCTATTAGCTCTAGCCCTTGCAATCGAGCAGGAGATTGGATTCATTGGCCTCTTTCATTCATAAATAAAATGGAAAGAAAGACAAATGAGAGAGAGGGGATTATTAATTAGAGATATCAATACTTTCTCATAAGACCCTGTAGTACTTGTACCATGTCATTCTGCAAAAACTCACAGCTGGGCAGTTTTTCTGCACATGAAAAACCTTGGCTGATTTTGCTTATTGGCCAGATGAGTGGATAAGGAGACTGCCAGGGAATATCAGATAATTCAGCTGAATGTAGAAATTGAATAAGAAACTCTATGTGTACCTCTAACACACAGTTTTGATTACTGCAGAAAGTACTTGGTAACACTTGAGTTGTGAAATGTCAAGATAATTAATCCCACTTCGGTGGTTTCTGCTTGCTTCATCATATATTTCAGTAATTGACCAAAAATGTTTACATGCAGGAGTGTAATTAAAGGCATTCCATTGTGTCAATAGTTTAATCTACATACTGTAAAAATAACTAAAACCCAAATATTAAAACATAGTATCAATCATATTCAGATTATAATTATAATATTAAAAATAATTAAGTACAAATGGCTAAATCATAAAAATGTATAGGTATTCTAAAACTGAATATCAATAGCATGACTATAAAACTAGGGTATATTTAGATAAAGCAAAGAAAAGGATGGTGGGGAGTTTAAAGATGAAAACCTAAAATAACAATAGTAAAAATGTATATTCAATTGTCTTTATTGTTCTAATGACTGCAATACTAAATAAGCGAATTATAGCAATAAGTATAACAAACTGTATAAAATAAAAAAAACATCAGTTTCTACATCAATGTCTATTATTGACCATTTATCAGTGAAATTTACACTTAACAAAATC